AAAGTTGGAAATCTGCTAAAAAAAATGATAGAATCAATGACTGTCCAAATCCACAGTATAGCCATATACTGAAATAATACTCTCAGATAGGATCAGTGACTTTGAAAGGCATACAGAAAAGGAAACAAAAATAATTGCTGAAATATTTTAACTTTACCCTAAAATGAAATTTTAAAAGATTTAGCATTTTTCAGATTTTAAAATAACAAAGAAATATATATTTTTGCATATGGTAAAAATTATATATACATAATGAATAAATAATAAAGAAAATATATGAAATGAAATCTCGACAGGTAACTAATGCAATAGACTTCTCATACAATAGGTGAATTTCCTATTTTTATTTTTCATAATGACATAAAACAAACTGTACAATTTATACCATTTTCATAATGATATTGCCCCAGATTTAGTGGATAAATAGAAATAATGTATCTCCTATTTTCCCAGTTGCTCCATTAAGTTGAGGTTTCATTCTACAGTCTGATCTGATCTAAGGAAGATCCAGCAGGAAAGGATGAATTTTTTCACATGTCTAAATGAACTATAAGAACTTTTAAAGATATTAATTAGATTCATAAAATATATTAGGTTATTTATGATTGATTGCTATATTACCTCCAGAAATTGTGGAATTAAAACAATGTAATGTAAAAATGCTATTGTGATCTATTGGGGTTTTCCATAAGCATCTAGTTGCACTGTGGGAACAAAATGCTAGACTAGAAAAATCTTGGGTTTGATTCAGGATCTTGCCTTCTATTCTTATGACAGTAAGAAAACATCAGTGTCCTCTTCCATCACCATACACTAACTTTACTTATCAATACTGATACATTAAAGATGTAACTGGCATGCTGTCTGAAGACTTGATAATGTTCTCTTTTTTTTTTGTCCTGGTAATCACAAATCTCTTTCCAGATTTTTCAGATTGCCTGGAGTTAAGATGATTTAAAGGCATTCACACATACAGTAGAACTGCTAGTCATTAACATAATTTGTTCCATAACTTTGGTCGCAACCCGATTTGGTCATAACCCAAACCTAATTTTGGAAATTTTACGCTTACAAAAAAAAATGGAAGGGAAAATCAGCCACAAAAAAAATATTGTGAAATTTTGGGTTGGAACCTGATTTGGTCGTGGTCAGAAGTGTTCTTGACCAGAGGTTCTACTGTATAGAGAATGTATCTATATGCTTTCTAACCTTTCACTTCTTCACTACAAAATTTCACCTATTGCATCCATAACTTTTTCAGTCATAGCAGTAATTATTCATATTCAGTGTTGCTAAGCCTTTCCTAAATTGCTCTAATTTTGATATCTCTATTGTATGGCTGCAAAATAAATTAGACAAAAACAGCAACAGTATTCCTGATAACATGCTCATGCCTTATTTTTTTTCTGAGAACTATGTTTGTATAGAGAATTGTGGGATAGTGAATACTGTGTGACCCAGTATTCTGGCAAAGAGAAAATTATCCCGTCTAGCAATTATGGTATGATAAATTTATATATTTATATTATCTTTCTTCTCGGTTTATTTCATAGCCACTAGCAGCATATTGATATAAAGCTAAGCAATTCACTAATTTTCATGAAAACTCTTACAGGTGGATACAAAGTAATAGCTTCTTCATGATGGGCTCCCTTATAGTCCTAAGACATTATTTGTTTTGATCATTGTTTTTTGTGGCAATAGCCAAAATGATTAACATTACAAGTTATCTTCAACTTTAGACCTTTTGTTCAGTAACCATTCAAAATTGCAGTGGTGCTACATGGAGGGACTTACAATCCATATCCATATCATAGGGTATAGCAAAGGGTATAGCATGGAGTAAAGCGCTACCATGGTCCTATAATCGCAGTTCGGGTGCTTGACAATGTACCTTTCAATTGATCTCAGGGATGCTTCAACTGCTTCTCTGCATATTTTGCTTATCCTTCCTGCCCCACTGGGTTCCTTGTGCCTAGTTCCTGGACATGCATTCCACCCTGCTGGATCCTACAGCTTTGGGCTCTTCCCTACTCCGTCATGTCTTGCTCCAGTTAACTCTTCTGAAGACTAAATTTCAAAAATAGCACCCAGCCAATGTCACGTTTTGTAGAAGTTGTCTTGCATCATTCTGGAAGCAGCCACCATTCTTGCAATTTCTTACTGTAGGAAGGTTCAGTTTTCAGCACCTCCAGAATAGTGTGAGGTGGCCTTTGCAGGGTGGTTGTGTATTGCATTGATTGGGCACTTTTTTGGAAGGCAATCTTTGAAAGAGATAAGTGGAGCAAGATGTGATGGGGCAGAGAAGAGGCTCAAGGCCTTTGGGGACTTAGCAAGGTGGGAAGCTATGGAAAGGGGTGACTTGAGGGGGAGGGACTGAGAGGTCCCGCACAAGCCATATGTGAGCTAGGGAGAGTGCCAAGCCTGGCTTACTTCAAGTCTCCCAGGGCCTCCCCCATCTCCTTAAGCATCCTGTGCTACGCTTAATGACCTGTACAGTTTCTTAAAGACTGCAGTGGGGTGAGCTGGGTTTATGATCATTGAGTGACGGGATCACATGAGTTGCCTCACTTAACAACCACAACGTACAACCATAATTCTATGTTCAATTTTGATTGCACATTGAGGAGAATCTGTATAATTTAGGAAAATATATGAACCCAGTCTGTGCTTCACGCATCTTGAACAGTTTGTATATTTGCTAGATGATTAAATAAGGCTTTCTCCAAATTCCCTATATGCCTTCTTGTCTAAAGAAAAGGTACAAAACTAGACTTTCAGGCTCCTTTTGGCCAGATTGGTCACAGCAAAAGACTATCCTTCAATACAAAATATTCAGGACAACAGTCAGAAAGGTCTATAAAAAAAACTTAGAAATTAAATTTTATGCTATTTTGATCATCATATTAAAATTTGCTAGAATCAGATAAAGTTGCAATACAGAAAAATAGTATTTTTATTTTATTGTAATGGGATAGGTAACCTAATGTTCTTCATGCTGTAAATCTTGTATAAGGACTCCAAATGCCATTCTTGCAATTTAGCCTTCAAAGTTTAAACAACCAACTCTATTTAGAAATGGGTTGCATGCCAACAGTTAAAGCACTGCCATATAGGGTATGGCAAAACCAGTGGTTTTGGAATGAGATCATGATAAACTTGTTCAGCTTTACTATTGTAAGTACATATCAAGTTTTCTCTCATTCACTTATATTCAAAAACACACAATTATTTTGTATTTTTGGTTTTCTTTTACATTTTAGCTTTCTTTCTGTAACAGAAACTTCCACTATAGTTTGCAAAAGAAAGAACAGCCACAGTCTATTAATGATGTTATAGAACTAGTTTACTTAAAAACAGAGGTGATTGCTGGTAAGGATAATGTCTGCTTTGATAGGAATATTATGTACGTTTGTGTGCTTTTCAAAATTTTAAGTTCATTCCTCTTCAAGGCCAGCAGATTCAAAATTATTTTACTAGCCCCAGATAAAGTTACTAAAATCAATTGATATCTATAACCTTGTGAATGTGCTTCCCTCTTGTTCACTAACTCTAGGTTATGGCTAGAGGTTTGGTATCCTAGAAATTCTATGTACCAATTACTTTTTAGACAAACCAATAATATCCTGAATCTTGCTAATGAATCAGTATGTTCTACAATAGTTCTGAATTTTCAATGTTATTGGTTATATCATTGATTCCTCAATTTTAAATGCTTCAAAGAGAGACATAAATGCGTGTTCAGGCCTTAAGTAGCTTTGATGAGATGTGCCAATACAATATTTGATAAAAATATTTATTGGGTTCATTTTATATACAAATCAGCAAAGTGTCTTGAATGTATTTTTTTATGAATTGGATTCCTGTAATATTGATTTGGAATATTTGAGCCAAGCATGAGTAGAGTAGAGAGAAACCATGAGTAGAACTCCTTTTCTGCCTTATCTTCATACTCCTTCATATTCCTTTTTTTCATCCAAAATCGTTGCTTGCATCTTTACAATTTATATTGTTTATTTGGTTTCCTAGTATGATTTATGTTGATTGCTTATTTAGTATCCTATGAGCATTGCTAAGTGTTGTATCTTATGATTCATGATGAATGTATTTAAGATGACTATGATCATGATTTATCACTTATATTTTTTATGTACACTAAGAGCTTATGCACTGAAGACACACTTGGCCAATAAAGAATTCTACCGTGTTTCTCACAAAATAAGGCCGGGCCTTTTTTTTTTTTTTGACCCCTGAAAAAACGGCTAGGCCGTCTTTTGGGGGGTGACTTAATTTCCTTCCCCACCAAGAGCGGCCCATACACACCCGCGAGGCTACTTCTTTCAGCAGACAAAAGCTGCCTTGAAGGCAGAGTCCCCAGCCACTTCAGGGCGAGGCGGGGCTGCCCGTGTCCCCTTGCCTTTAGGCAGTCTCTTTTGGGTGATGGAAGCTCCCCAAATGCAGTTACCAGCCACTTCGATTGGCCGGTAGAAGCAGCCTTGGGGCGAGGGGAGTGTGTGTGTGTGTGTGTGTGTGTGTGTGTGTGTGCGCGAAGTGGCTGGTGACTGCATTTCGGGAGCCTCCTTCGCCCGAAAAAGACTGCCTAAAGGCGAGGGGACATGGGCAGCCCCGCCTCAGGGAAAAGCATGGTTTAAATAGGCCTAAATTTGGGGGACGGGGCTTAATTTCATCTCATGCCTAGAAATCATGCTGGACCTTCCTATTGGTGGAGGCCGTATTATTGGAGAAACACGCTATTCTATAACAAAAGCCAATATTCTATTCTAAAAGCCATTAAAGAAAAAGAGGCTAATTCCATAATAAATGTTTGCAGGATATAATGCTGGCAGTTTTCAATCACTCCTATTTTTTAAAAAAGTTTGTTATGCATTACCAATCATAAATATTATGTATAGCTCTCCAGTTCATTCCTTTACTTTTTAATTGTAATAGAGCTAGTAATCTTTTAATATCTTTGAAATTTTCAATTTGTTTTGTTCTAGGATGTTCAGAAGGAGAGAGAAACTCATAATTACCTCAGCAAGGAAGCAATCAAGGAAAAAGTCCAAATATACAATTCAGATGTTACTGACAAGCTAAAGATGACATTGGTAAGCTTTTTATATATGGCATTTATTATGATTAGATAGCATGTCTGTTTGGGACAGAAGTCTTGCGTCCCTGAAGTCAGCACTAGATGTGATTAACAATGCTGCAAATGTTAGCCAGTAAATTCTATATTGCATAAAATATTTCTTAGCATTCACCTCCTAGATTTGCAAGAATTCATATTACTAGACAGGATTATACCAGACAGGCAAAAGAAGATGGGAGGCAATTAAAGAATAAGCAAATGCGGACTACCTATTCTCCAGATGAGCTGTTCAGAGCATCCATTGATTGGGATGGTGTTTCTGTCGCACGTCTGATAGGCTGGGCTTTAATTGAGAGGACACTCCTCCTCCTCCATGGGACTCGTCCCTAGCGTCCCCAGTTTTTGCTCAACCTTCATGGATATAGGCAGCTTAATTTCCTTTCCCTTGGCCGAAATAGCAAAGGCTTCAAAAAGAGACAACAAATAGGTTTGCTTTTAAACTCTAAACAAATCATTTAAGGCTCTTAGTTCAATGAGTCAAGCAGCTCCCTACGGCAGTGGTCCCCAACCTTTTTTATGCCGCAGCCCGGTACCGGCATCACAAAATGATCCGCGGCCCGGTACCGGCATCAGCACGCATGACATGGCAAGGCGAGCTGAGCGACCGGCCAGCCAGCCGTCCCCCGCTTCTCCCCGCCACCTTCAACTCCTCCTTTGTACCTTAGTTGATGGGCTTCGCTTCAGGACAGCTTCGGGACAGTCGCTTGGCTCGCCTTGCCTTGGGTGCTGAAAGAATCCTCGCGCCTTAGTTTCATTCGAAGCACCCCCCCTTTCGATGAAACTAAGGCGTGAGGATTCCTTCAGGACCCAAACGCCGCTTTCTAACCGGAAAAGCTCACCCGGAAGCACTTTCTCATCAAACAAGATGGTGGTGCCCAGTAAACCGGCGGCCCAGTAGGAAATGTTCCACGGCCCGGTACCGGTCCGCGTCCTGGTGGTTGGGGACCCCTGCCCTACGGCACATAACTCGAGCCGGGAGAGCTCACCGTAGCTTCGAATAATGATCTCCTCGCCCCCAGGGTGATTGGAGGTGATAACACCTCAGCCACATGGCTAACATGTCTTAGCCCATACCATTACGACCTTTTCAAGCCGGGCTGCTGTGATTGCTGCCTCCTGCGCCCAACGGGAGCGGCTCCATTTTAAAAGGCTCCGAGGCTTCTCTCTCTCCTTTGGGAACACCGTCTGGGGTGGGGGCATCAGCGCCCATCTGCCCCACCGTGCCTTTTTATTCAGGGGGAGCTCTGCAGTATCAACTCCCCACAAGGCGCAGAATTGCTACTGAGCCGATTTTAGTCATTATGCGCCTAAAGAGATAATGGCCGGCACCATTGCAGACTCACTAACTGTGTGGTAGTGATCTGCATTTTATTTCTGGAAGTGTGAGAGGCTTTTCTGCCCCCAAGCAGGGGTCTCCTTCCTGGGACCCGGGGGAAATCGCCCTAATGCAACCACCCTAATGTGTGTGCTCCAATCCCCCTCTGCAACCACCCCTGGATCTGTCTGTGTAATCCAGACACAGTGCAGCTGCATAAGCTCAGGTAGTCCATCTAGATCAGTACAAGTGACACAAAGGACCTCTTTGGCCACAGTGCTCCAACAGCGGCCGGATTCCGTCAAGATGATTACTTACTGGAAAAGATCCCCGCAAAGATGAAACCGTGGATGGAATTAGCGATATGACAAGGTATCACTGTGGGGGTGCAGCATACCGCTCTGGACAACAACAGAGCGCTCTCTCAGTCCAGTCACTAAGCAGGGCAGAGCATCTTTACCCTCAGGTATGTCCCCTGGAGAGTTTCTTGCGCAGGGCTACAAATTTACGGCCTCCTGTAGTGCATTGATATCACATGTGGGACCTCAACAAGGTCCTTACGGCACTAAAGAAAACTCCTTTTGAGTCCCTGTAGACCACGAGTCTCCATTTCTAATGTACAAGGAGGTTCTCTTGGTTGCCATTACATCAGCCAGTTGTATCTTGGATCTAGTAGCCTTGTCAGTTAGACAAGAGCTATGTATTATTCATAAAGAGTGGTCCTTAGTCCAGATCCATCTTTCATCCATAGATAAATTTGGGTTTCCACAGACCATAGGAACTGATATTCCTGTGTGTTTGTCTGAGACCGACATAAAATCTGGTATAACAATGGCACAGTCTAGATGTAAGGCGAGCTCTCTGCATATATTTCAACCGCACAACGTGTGTTAGGAAACGGAGGTTCTCTGCGTTTCTTTTCAACCACCCACCATTGGGTGCAAGACCTCTTCCTCAATGATCAGCAGGTGGCTGAGAGCACAATTCTGAAGACCTACGAGACACAGTCTCTTCCTGTACCCAGGGGCATCACTGCTCATTCAACCTGGAGCGCTGCGATGTTGACATGGGCCACAAGCGCCAATAGAGGAAATTTACAAGGTGACAACATGGGCCTTGCCATTGCCTTTTATTTAGAAACTATTCGAATGGTGTCTTTGCTTCTATGTTGGCTGCCTTTGACAGGAGAGTGTTACAAAGGGTCCATAGGGACCAAGAAAAAGGGGAATCCGAACCAGACGGAAGCCCTCCTGTACGACACACCAAGCTTTGGTATGTTCCAATCAGTGGATGCTCTGAACAGCTTATCTGGAGAAGGGGCGTTGCCCTTTCTCTGAGCTGTGAAGAGCATCCATCCCCATCCTTATTCGTCTTGTGGGATGCTATTCCGGCCAAGTATTAGAAAGGGTGAAGGAGAAGAAATATTTCATCACTTCGACTTCACCAAAACTGGGGGCGCTAGGGAGGAGTCCCGTGGAGGAGGAGGAGCGTCCTCTCAATTAAAGCCCAGCCTATCAGACGAGCAACAGAAGCATCATCGCAATCAATGGATGGTCTTCACAGCTCACAGAGAAGGGGGTGTCAGGTAAGTACCAACACCCCTTTTGTTTTTCATGTAGTCTTTGTGTATTACAGTTTACTGTACCTATTGAGTTGAAGTGTATAAATACTGAGCTACATTTTGTGCTCTGAATGTTTCTTCTCACTGTGCATGCCTAAAGGAGTTAGAAATATAAATCTACGATTTTTGAGATTGCAATTTTGTCACATTAAGGTGAATATTAAGAAAACATGTTATTTTTTTCATTTGAAATATTGCTGAACTTACTATGTGGTTTTATCATATTAACATTTATTGTATTGTTATCATTGCTCTTTCTTGTTATTGTGTTTACAGTTCGGCTTTTGTGAATTGTTTGTGGATTGAAAATCCTAACTTATGATTTGAGTGCCTGTCTTAGAAGGTATACAAGTGCAGCAAAAGTATCCATCAAAAGACAAATGCTTTCTGTGCCTTGTGTGTTTGAATAAGGAATGTTTAATAAATTGTAACATCATTCATAATGAAGTTAACTCTATTTTTCTTTTCTTTTTAAATAGCATTTCTCCTTTATTGTAACATTGCCATAGACAGCTACACAATGCAGATAGTCCTTGATGTACAACCATTTATCTAGCAACTATTTGAAGTTACAACAGTGCTGAAAAAATGACTAATGATCGGTCCTCACACTTACAACTGTCCCAGCATGCCCACAGTCATGTGATAAAAATTGGGCCACTTGGTAACTTGAATGTATTTATAACCATCACAGCATTCTGGGCTCATGTGATCACCATTTGTGACCTGCATCTGGTTCCCAGCAAGTAACATCAATGGGGAAAGCTGGATTCACTTAATGACTGTGTGATTCACTTAACAACAGCAGCGATTTTACTTAACATCCATGGGGGAAAAGCTCATAAAATATTGGTGTGACCCACTTAACAACCTTCTTGCTTATCAGTGGAAAGTGTGGTTGTAATTGTGATCATAATAGGGATAGGGATTTTTCCAATCCTCTACTTAACTCATGAGCAATCCTAATGCAAAATCCTCACTCCCACTCCATTCTAGAGGAATCATAATACAAAATCCTCACTCCCACTCCACCCCAGAACAATCATACTGCAAAATCCTCACCTCATCTCAGAGCAACCACAATTCCCTCACTAACCTTTCCTGCTGCCTGAAGGGCAACAAAAGAAGACCATGAGTCTACCAGTTTAAAAAAAGTGCAGCCAGACCTTCCAACTTATTGCGGGGCCGGGAGGGGGTGGGTGGGGGAGATCTTACGAAGTTAGGTCTGATTAAACTTTTTTTAAACTGGTAGTCACATGGTCTTCTTTTGTTTCCCTACGTGCTGGAGAACAGAGCTGGAAAACAGGTTAATGAGGGAATTGTGATTGTTGTAGGATTTTGCAGGAGGCTGCCCAGGCCAAAAACAGGACATGGTGGGGGCGGTATGCACACCTCCGTGTGCCCTATTTTTGCTAGCAGAGACACCACAGGCTGGTCCTTTGCTATTTCCAGGCTGGCCCTGCAGGTCAGATCTAAGCACCCTGCGGGCCAGATTTGGCCTGTGGGCCTTGGTCTAATTGGCAAAACTCAAAGTCAGAGTTTCATTCTTTTACACATCAAGCACTAAGTTCAGAAGTGATCTCCATGTGGAAACAAAAGTACTTATGTTCTTTTCTTTAATCAAAGTGGTCAATTTTGCCATTTTAGCCAATTCCATCGAATTCTGTAACCATTCATTGCTAGTAGGAATCGAAGTGTCCTTCCATTTTTGTGCATACGATAGTCTTGGTGCAGTCAACATATATAATAACAAAGTTCCAAATATTTTATCCAGTTCTTTTTCCATTAAGCCCAAAAGGAAAATTTCTGGTTTCATTTTTATCTCCATTTTCAAAATTTTCTGTATTAAAATATGAATCATACTTCCATTTTTTTTTTGCTTTACCACATTCCACCATAGATGGTAAAAAGTCCCAACTTTTACACTTCCAACTTTCATTTGACATACCTTTATACATCTTACTCCAAAACCTACTCCAAAACCAGAGATTACTATTAATATTTGTTTTATTTCTTTGTTAGATCCCCCCCTCCCCCCATTTTCCCCACATCAAAGCCTTGTGAACTAGGTTGGTTTGAGAGTTATTGACCTAGAGTCACCCAGCTGGAGTATTAGAACTCTCAGTCCCCTGTTTGTGTTAACCAGACTTAACCAGACTTATTCCACATCCTGCATAAGATCATTCAAGTTGGTGATGGTACCATTAACTGCAGCTTTTAAAGTCAATTTTCTGGCATACATTATAAAACAACCTAGTCCTATCTGTTGATTTAGATTTGGTTGTGTTGATTATTCTTTTTCACCTCTAGTAAGCATAGCTAGTTAGTCACATTTATGCATGGTACATAGAGACCTCAAAATAAATTCAGGTTGCTCATTTGTAACCTGTGGACTTTGAGTCTTTGTGTATTCATATGATTCTCTCTACATTCCTCATGCAGACATTTAGATGCTTATCTGTGCGTGATTACAGTGACTTCATATATGTATGTGCAGTAGGAAGGACTTTTAAGGGCCTATGAAAATGCAGAACAAATTTAGAATATTCTGATGGTATCTGCTCATAAATCTCATATGTCTAAATGCTCAGATGACTGTTCAGTCAGTTACAAATGGTCTTTGCTTGCTCAGCAGCCTTTCAAGTTATGACAGCACTGAATGACTGGTACTGCTTAGAGAGGGACTGTAAAGCACTATGAAGCAGTATATAAGTCTTAAGTGCTATTGCTACTAAATGCTACTTATGGCCAGTGGTCAAACTGGCCATCATGGTTTCCCCACATAACCTGGATTCTCAATGCCCAAATTGCAATTATGTTGTTGCTGCATCCTGAAGTCATTTGATCATCATTTTCAATCTTCACTGCCAGCTTCTGACAAGTCAATAAGAGATCACAAATGGTGGTCACATTGTGCTTAATGATAGTGCTTAACAGTGGCAACTGGAAGTGCCAGAATTTCCGTTGCTAAGCAACATGATAGTAAAGCACAATGTCATGTTACTGCATTGCTTTGCGATTGAAATTCTGGCACTTCCAGCTGCCACTGTTAACTAAGCATTGCCTATAATGGTAAGCAATTTGTACTTACCTAAGTATCAGGGAGAATAGCAATCTGATTATTTGCTGAGTTTTTCTTTTTCTTCCCCTGTGCCATCTAAAGCATGTACATGAAAATGTATCTGTTCTCCATTTTCTCAGAGACCAAACAAATGTGATTTCATTGTTATATGCATATGTCTTTTTATTCATAGAATGCAAGCGGAATATACACTGGCTTCATCAAAGTTCAGATCGAACTTTGCAGACCTATCACTCTACAGACTTCTGTGAATGTAGGGAAGCATCTCAACAGCAATGAGACAACTTTTTATTTGCCTAATGGCTATATGAACACTCTTCATATCAGCAGTACTAACACAGTCCGTGAAGTTATTGAGGCTTTGCTCAAAAAATTTCTGGTGGCTGATAATCCTGCCAAGTTTGCACTTTATAAGCAGTGTCACAAGGAAGATCAAGGTACGCAAATAGATTTTTCTGAGTTATAAGTGGATTAAAGGAAAAGATTGTGATGCTAATTTTGTTCTTTTATGACTTAGATGGAATATAGATTTATTTGACAATCTGATCATATTTCCAATAAAACATCATCAACAATTAAAATAGCAGAAATGATTTTTTCCTTTTTGACTTGTTTCATGCATATGTATGATTAATTTCAGCTGAATAGAATCTTTGGGTAACTCCAGTGTTTTACTTGGTTCTACAGCCAGCATGCAGAATCTTGAATGCTTGTGTGAACCAGGAAATTAGGAGTATCGATGCCACAATGAATTGAATTTTGAACAAATTTGATTTGATATTTTGACTTGTTCTAAAACCTATTAATAGTTGATTGAATTAGGTGATGTCAATCTAATGTTTCCTAGTTCGAGGGTGACTTTTCTAAGACTAATCTTGATTGCTGTCAGCCTTTTGAAGGAGACCAGATCAGAAAAATATACTTTATTGTTCAAGGACATAGCAAATACATTCTTTCCTCCTTACATGAAAGAGAATCAAGTTAGGGCCTTCTTGAGTTAGTTTTTCACCTTGTGCTCCCTTTCAAGGGAGCTTTCAAGGCTAAGCTGGTATTTATTTAAGAACTGTTGAATTCCTTCTTCAAGGCTATTTTGACATTCTTTTACAGTTATTGCCTCAGTCTCTTGGATTTCCAGCATGTGTTAACCTTGTTAAAGAGAAACAGTGAAGTATAGAGAGAAGAAAAAGCTAAGGAAATCATCTTCCCTTTCACAATAAATTTCACAATAAACCTTGTGTTTTTTTCTATTTATTTCCAGTATTGCACATAACTTTTAGGGAATATTTCTTGAGTTTTCTGAATGTATAATTTTTATTTACTTAGAACTGCTCATTAAGCATACAGTGTGACTATGGACTTTCACAAACTATATTAAAGAAAGCATTGTACGGTAAGATATTCATCAACTGTCAAAGATTATAGTGGTTCTAGTGTACCATTCATTATTCTTCATTGCTAATAGTTCTCCATTTATATAGTGTAGTACTGAGATTCCTCTGCACTGATAAAGCTGTGGTTCTGATAATCAGCAGAAATTCTGAGTATGCTTTCTTTTGTATTATTTGCAGTTTATATGTGCAAGCTCTCAGAAACAGAACATCCTCTCTATTTGCGGTTGGCGGCTGGTCCAAGAACAGATACGCTTAGCTTTGTTTTGCGTGAGCATGAATCTGGGGAGGTATTGGTAAGTTGTACTTGCGTATTTGGAAATCTTGAAGTCCAACTAGTTAGTTCATTGCTAAGATTTCTAACTAGTGGTGTACAATTTCCAGTTCACATCTATTGAATGTACTCATGTTTATAGAGAAAAGCAAGCAAGTAGCCAATTTAAGTACAGGTAGTCCTCAAGTTATGACCACAAATGAACCCCAGCATTTTTGTTGCTAAGCGAGAAATTTGTTACGTGAAATTTGCTCCCATGACCTTTCCTGCCGCAGTTGTTAAGTGAATCACTGCAGTTGTTAAATTAGTAACACGGTTATTATGTGAATCTGGCTTCCCCATTGACTTTGCTTGTCAAACGTTTGCAAAGGGTGATTTCATGACCTTCGGATATGGCAACCATCATAAATACAAGTCAGTTGCCAAGCATCAGATTTTTGATCACGTGACCCTGGGGATGCTGCAACAGTCGTAAATACGAAAAAATCATGACCAACTTTTTTCAGTGCCTTTGTAACCTTGAACAGTCACTAAATGAACTGTTTGAGGACTACTTGTATAGTGCAGATTATAAGAGTTTTATAAATATTACATTGGAAAGGATGTTTAAAACTTTTGGGATTCAGTGCTATGCCATGCTTGGTATAAGAATTTGATCTCAAATATTCCTAATAGATGAAAATGTCTGCCAAAAGAATCCACCACCTCTCTGGCCAGTTCATTATTTTACTCAACTATTTTTATTGTTAGTAAAGTGTTTTTCCCCTTAACATTCAATAAAAAATTGACTAATTGCCTGCCTGCCTGCTTGTATCTGTCTGTCTAGCTATCTAATATCTTTCTATCAAATCTATCAAACTTACGGTCACTCACTCACTCTTCCGTGATCATGGGCAGCTTAACAAAAAATAAAAATCCAATACACAACATTAAAACACTAATCCTCTCCTCCTTGGAGACAGCAATCAGTCAACTATTTCAGTTGCTCCAGCCTAAAATTGCATTTATTTCCTGGCCACATAGTAATTGTTATCTCAGTTAGTTTTCCTAACTGATCAAGATCATCTTGAGTTTTATTCCTATTATCCATTATACTAGTACCTATTTCCATTCAGAATGGGGATGAGTTGACTCAGCAGCTAAAGATTCTGAGCTTGTCAGCTGGAAAGTTAACTGCCTAGATTCAAAACCTGAGTGTCGCATGATGGAGTGAGTTCCCATTACTTGCCCCAGCTCCTGCCCACCTAGCAGTTCAAAAGCATGCAAATGTGAGTGGATGAATAGATTTCAGTGGGAAGATAACAGTGTTCCATGTACTTCAGTGTATAGTCATGGCCACATGACCATGAAAGTATCTTCACACAACTCGTGACTCCCTTAGCTAAGAAAGAGATGAGAACCACCCCTAGATTGAACATCTTTATTCCACATAGTGCCATCTACAAATTTGATCAATACTATTCAATACTATTTGCACAGCCACCTCTGCTTCTGTACCAATATTTATGTTCTATTCTCGTTTCCATGGGCCTAAACGATGGATGAGAACACCGCTTGAGCCCCCAACTTATTGTGGATCCTCCAGGGATGGGATTCAAATTTTTTAACAACCGGATCTGTGGGCATGGTTTAATTTGTGGGTGTGGCTTGGTGGTCATGTGACTGGGTAGGAGTGGCTTGCCAGCTGGGCGTGGTTGGGTAGCGATGTGACCGGCTGGGTGTGGTTTGGTCATGTGACGGGTGGACATGGTTTGGTAGTCATGTGGCTGGGTGGGCGTGGCCATGTGACTGGCAAACCAAGTACAAGTGGTCCTTGCTTAATGGCTGGTTGCTAACAAGTGTTCGAATTTATGACTGACCTCCCCAGAGCTACTTGACCTGGTTTTGGAGTTTTGACAGCCATGTGTGTGCATACGCGCGCGCGCACATGCACCCCCCCTTCTAACCCTGTTGGAGCAGGGGGTTGGATATCCCTTGCAGGCCAGCCTTAGATTGCTGTGCTGTTTCAAAGAGTCTTCTGAAGCCAGCATTTGTGTCTTTCCTTCCTCTCCATTTTTCTCTCTCTCCATCCCTCCCTCCTTCCACGTATGTATCTATCCACCCATGTATCTCATTCACTTTCTCCTTTCTTTCTTTGTTTCTTTCTTTGTTTCTCTCTCTCTCTCTCTCCCTTCTTTCCATTCCCCCTTTCTTTGTCTATCCCTTTTCTTTCTTTCTCTTCCTTTCTCTCTCCCTTTTTCTTTCCCTTTTTTTCTTATCTCTTCCTTCTCTCTTTCTGTCTTCCCCCCTTTCTGTCTCTCTCTATCCCTTCCCTTCTTCCTTCACCCGCTTCTTCTAAAGCTAGGAGACCCACCTGTAACAAACACACACACACACACACACACACACACACACACACACACACACGCACTCTCTCTCTTCCCAAAAAGTACTCACCTGGCAGCATTGCTCATGATGAGGGTTCTTCCTGGCTAGAGTTCCAGGGACCAGGTGTGATTGACCAGTGCGAGCTCCATGGGCTGGAAGGTAAGGTTGACAGCAGGAAAGGAATATCTGCTCTGGCGAGGCTTGGCATTCTCACAGCGGCGGCCCACATTCAGCCAAAGCATGCAGGCCGGTGGGTGGCAAAGGGATGGGTCAGCAGGCAAAGGGGTGATGCAGGCGGCATAGCATCGTGCTCCCTGGTCGCCCCCGCCCCTAGCAGGCAAGGTCTAGCAGCTGTGGAGAATGCAGGCAGGGGGTGAGATGCAGGCTGGTGGGGACCTGAGCGGCAGTGGGTCAGCCCTGGCTTGACTTCCTCTCTGCCACCAGCAAGCCAGGTAAGCTGGAGGCTGGGGGCAGTCGCGGGGGAAGCTTGCTAGGCGGCGAGTGCCACATGGGATGGAGCCGCAGCATTGGTAGTGAAGCAAGCCAGATAGGGATGGGTAAGGGGCAGATAGCTAGGCCACAAGCGCTGCGGACGGTGGTGGCACGGCACTGGCGACCTAGGCCAGCCTGGGAGTTGGCACTCAACGGGACTTGTGGAGGCAAGGGCAGCAGTGGTAGTGCGGTGGCTGGCCCAGGAGTTGGGACTCAACTGGGGCTGGCAGTGGCATGTAGGCGACCAGGGCTTGCAGAGCCCATTCACCTAGGGAGACGTACATGTGCAGGTTTCTACTCCTAACAATTATGTTAATCATCATCTCTCTTGGTCATTGCATATAAGTTGGTATATATTAAAAAAACTACGGTAGCTAGCTATAATATTAGCATTTTGGTTTTTTATCTTCCTGCTTTTGAACTAAAAAATTCAAGAATGTGGAGTTATTCTGTTTTTGCATACTTTTGAAATTTGTGAGAATTACATGGATTTAATCATGGACAGTTTTATCTATAGGTTTATGTGTTACTGTATTTTGGCATTTCTGAAGGAAAACAAATTTATTGGTTTCTAACTTGAGTAGCACAATGAAATGAAAATTACAAAACAAATTGTCAATTGTTCTTAGAGGCTATGGATAAATCCATAATTTTATTTTGCAGTGGGAAGCGTTTAGCCTTCCTGAATTACAGAACTTCCTGCGTATTCTGGATAAAGAAGAAGATGAGCAACTACAAACCTTAAAAAGACGCTATGCAGCATACAGAAAAAAACTTGAAGAAGCTCTTGGTGGAGTTTGGATTCAAAGTTAAAAGGGGGGTCAAAGAATACTCAGGGAAGATGTGTGTTGCTTAATTTTAAGTAACTTGCCTTTAACAAAATGACTTTCACAAAGAATAATTTGTTCCCTAGAGGCAGTTCTATAGATATTTTGCATGTAGGAGCATACAGAAATTGCAATATTTTCAGGTTTTTGTTTATGGTATGTCTTGATTTTTTCCACTTTAGTTGTGATTGTCAGAGAAATCTGTTTTTATAGGCAGTAAAAAATGAAGCTTTTCTGCTTTAATGTTAAAACAAAGGGGGATGCAAATTTTGATACGCTACTCAAACTCAGTTTATAATAAGAATTAGTAGACTCTTTGATAGCATAATTGATTTGACTGCTGTTTTCAAGTATTTCTTTATAATTTTGCAAATTAAATTATTTTTATACATTGAAGAGAAATATAAGTTAAAGTTCAATCAAATGGAACTATATAAGGTGAAATGGAAGTTGAAATGAAGGTAAGAGTTGGAGAAAAGAAATGTTGAAATAATATTGAAAAGATATTGTTTTGCAGTTGGTTAATGTAATGAGAAAGAAAGTTGAGGGGTTTTGTTGAGGGATTTTGTAGTTGAAATTAATATATTCAGTGCTATTATTGAAGAGGGTTTATTAAATATAGTAGAGAGTAAACTGCATGTGGTATGTAGGGATTTTTATGAATCTAAAATCAACATTAAATTGTTAATTTGGAATTCTTATAATTTATTAAATGTCCAAATATGTATATGAATTCCTTTGAATACACAATTTATTTCTTGGAAAAGAGTTACTTTTAATATGAAGCTAATTTCCTCCATTTGAAACCAAGTAATATTTTTACTTATACTCATTGCACTGGGAATAACTTGACAATCTATTTTTTAATTTCTATTCTGAAAAGTCAACTAAAAGTTGATCAGGGTTCTAGGTGCAAAATTTGTGAGAGGGAAAATTTTGCAGTCAATTAGCAGTATTTTTTCCTCAAAAAATAGTTTATCTAAGATATGTATAACAAAACCAAAGAAATGGATGTGCAATAGAAACACTTAGATAAATATATAACAGAGGTTTTTGTACACACTATTTGCAACCATGAATCAGAATGTATTCACTTGAGATAAATTTAATTTCCATAATTTAAAATAATCATGTTGGCCAACCTTTTTAAAAATGTAATCATTTGGACATTTACTTTAAAAGTTTTGAGGAACTTTCTTAGAAATGGTGACATCTGGTGGATATTGCAGGCAACAGTAATATATTATTAAAAAATGCCTTTATGTCAATCTTAGGTTGCTTTTCTTGTCAACATAAGATTATAACTTTCAAAGTGCAGAAACAATCTTTACTACAATATAATATTAATACTATTTTGAAATTTGTGGTTAATATATAACGACATACCTTGGTTTTTTTTGTTAACACTTAACTGTAGTACTCTGTATTTGTCTTTTATTTCATTGGAGATACAATCAAAGTTACATAGAATAGTGTTGCTTGACTGCAACTATAATGTTTTTTTCCCTGAAGATACTAAGTCAGGTCATTGGATCAATTTGGATATTATTAATCTTCTAATGAACATATCTTCTAGTGACATTAATGCTGTTTTATTTTGTTTTATCTTATAAAGTGCATCATGGGTTCCACTATAGTTCATTTCTAATATAATTTGCACACAAATGACCAGTATTCAAACATTATACCTAATTGCTCCTGCATAAAAGCATCACTGAAAAAAGGGCATTAATCCAGAACAGAGTAAAAAGTTCTGAGGTAAAACGAAGAATGCTTGGGGAGATTGTTTCAGTTTTCCATTCAATATTCTGTTCTTGCCACTGAATATTTGTTCACTCACTTCATGTACAAGGTATAATTTCTTTTTCTACCTTACCTTGGTAGGAAATATCACTTCCTTGTTTACTCTTTTAATGTAAATCCAAAGCCACATAAGAAAACAATGTTGCTTGTCTAAAAGGGCACACAGTGTAAAAGTAGTATTACATATTATTAGGACAGGTGAAAAATGAATATATCACTGTGGTAAAGCAAATCAGAACTTGTTTTTCTATGTATGTGATTTCAGAATGGTGATTTGAGAGTGTTTTCCAATTTGACTCTTTTCCTTAGCTTGCTTATTGGAGCAGCTAAGCTGTAAACCAATATAAGAGTCATTTAACTGTATTAAGGTAAAGCATTTAATGTTTTAGTTTTTTTTAAACATCTGATTCTAAGTTTGAAATGCTGTTTTTGAATATTGAATGAAAATTTACAAATATGTGAATTATAATTTTAACTTGAACTTTGTTTTCTTACTCTCTTTTGATGGGTTTTATGTACTACAGGTTGGAGTAAGAAAAACAGTTTGTATTAATCCAGACATTCTTTTACTTGGGTTACTGCTGTTGTTATTTTTTAATTATAAAGAGACTTGGTGATTGATTATTTTAATGTAGGATTCAATTTTTGTTTTAGTGTAACATTCCTAATCTTCAGAGATGTTACAGCTGTTATGTTTTGATTATATGTTAATGAATAAGTCGGAGAGGACAAGGAAAACACTTTTTTTGAGAAACGTTATTTATTATTTTTGAGTTTTTTTTATACAGAAATCCAATTCTCTTTGATGTAAAGAAAATACTGCAGCAAGTTTTCCATAAATAAATATGAAGTTGGCATTGTACTGTATGGTTATTTCTTTTACTAACTTCTGGCTTCCTTTAAATGTTTAATAAGGCACTAATTAGTGGGTTTTTCATATATTCGCTTCTCTGTTTATTCAAGCACATGGTCACTCAATTCTTACAACAGAGGACTTCAGCAAAATTTATAATTTGAATTTCATTTTCCACCTTTCCAAGTGTTTGATAGATAAGATGGTCAAATATGTTAATATAGAAGTTTATAGAAGGAAATATTGGATACTTGCCAGATAAAACATCACTGCCTTTTCTCTTTTCTTTTGCCTTGCCTTTTTCCTACAATTTTTTCCTGCAAAGTGACTAATTCTGAAAAAATATTAAATTATTGGGTTACAAAAAACTACCTGTTTTTTTCATGTACTCTCCAGTCATTTTGGAATAAGTTCTACTTTGTGCATCAAATATTATGTGCTTCAAAATTGATCAAGTATTTATTAAACAGATTTATATGGCTTGTCAGTTCACACACAGGTAACTAGGAGGCTCTTACTACATTCAAAATACACAACATAAATACACACACACACACACACAAATGGCAGAAGCAATATAATTAAACCAGGGATGTCAAACTCACATGTCGTCATGTGACGTATCGGAACTTTCACCCTTTCGCTAAATCGGGGATGGGCATGGTCAGCAAATAACTCATCTGGCCTGCGAGCTGTGAGTTTGACACCCCTAAATCAAAACAACCATTTGATCAGCTCCATCTCTATTGGGGGTTACTAGGCCCACTGACAAAACCATATCTTCAGGGCCTTTTGGAAACCAACAAGGAGGCCAATCATGTTTCTGGTGAACCAATGTTCTATTGCTTTCTCCTGCCCAGTATGAAATTATGATGTCATTATCATTGATCATCCACCTCTGGTATATATGCCTGCCTACTTACTTGACTGCAACTGAGATGATATTCGTGCCTTGGATGGCACTTCCAATATTCTTTGCTCATCCTTCCCAGGAGCAAGTCCCCACCTCAATGAAACTGCATAGCAGAAATTGGGGACATTTACATTTCCTAGAAAATGGGCAGTTCCCTTAAAAAATAAATTGGCACTATGGGGATGATACCAGCCCTTGCTGATACAGTAAACACCCATAGATTTGTTGGGATTGGAGCTGCTAAATTCTACAAGTAGTGTATTATCTACATGTATTTTTTTAGGTTTAAAGGTCATAGTACAGGGCTTGAGTAAAATTATATTTAAGTATTATAGGTCTTTAAAAAAATATCTTATTCTTCAAACTGGTATGGAATTATCTTTGAAGCTTATTCATCATTTTAATGGCCAAAGTCAATGCTGGGATAATACAATAAACCTAAAAAATATTTTCTATGGTTAATCTAAAAAATTATTCTCTTTGGAAATAAGTTTTTTGGGGGGTTCTTTTATATCTTTCTTTTCAAATCTACCCAAAGATGCAATGTTTCTATGTATTTTATTCTTGCATTACCAACTTTGGAATTTTCTAGAATGAGAACCTGAACAGTAAGATTTACTACAACATTAGGGGTTCTCTCTCTCTCTTCCATTAAATTTATACATTAAGACAGTATTTTATCCCTGTCTATACACATAAACATACACAAAGAGTCCTATACCATAATGTGAATTCACTTCTGTTTTAGTGGCTTTGGTATGTGTAGTTAAAATACTGTCTTGGTGTATACATTTAATGGAGCTGATTACTTAAGAAAAAGTGATATGTAGATTGAAGCTCACTTCTGGAAAAAATTTTATTCCAGCCTCATTAAGATTTTTTTCCTGGGTTCCTGAACCACAAATTTCAAAGCGGGATACATAACAAATGTATTAAAAGGAAGATACTTCTATCTTATTACTTTCAGTCTCTTCATAAAGCATATTCTGACAGTATTGCTTAATCTCCCATTCTACAGTTAATTAAAATGAACACAAAACTTGCAGTCCACACAGAGAAGTTTACATAATAAGGTCTTCTTTCACTGAAATCAAGCAGTGTGTTGGCTTGTGAGGGATGCAAAGGAAGCAGTTCCTTTGTGATCTGGTCTGTTATAGGAAAACAACAGTTAGTCCTCAACTTACTACAATTGAGCTCAAAATTTATGTTCCTAAGTGTGAAATTTGTTAAGTGAATTTTGCCCCATTTTATGACTTTTTTGCCTCATTTGTCAAGTGAATCATTTAGTTCTTAAATTAGTAACATGGTTAAGTGACTTCCCTAGTGACTTTTGCTTGGCAGAAGATTGCAAAAGGTGATCACATGACGCCAGGGCACTGCAACCATCATAAATGTGAGTCAGTTGTCAAGCATCAATGTAAAATCACATGACCATGGGGATGCTGCAACGTTTGTAAGGGAAAAACATTGATAAGTCACTTTTTTCAGTGCGGTTCAACTTCAGTCATTAAGAGAACTGTTGTAAATTGAGGACTACCTGTATTTTGTTCAAAAATATTTACAATATTTGCGAAGTATGACTTCTTAAGGGGGAATAGGAGTATACTTAAGCTAAGGAAAAGATGCATAGGTCCAGTCCTGCACAGATTTGTAGAAGGGCATTGTTACTTGTAAGCCACCTTTGAAATAAATGTGAAGGTAGTTATTAATACTGTGACTCAGAAAATCTAAAATTCAGAGGGAAATCATTAAAAGTCCTGCTTTTTGAGAACTCAAGAAATACGTAGAAACATCACATTCTAAGCACCTAATTTCCATTGATTAAACTCCAGCAATGTAGGTATTTAACAAATAATGTGTTTAAGTGAGTCATCCCATTTAAAGTCATTTAATTGACTGCATATGTATGTTGGCAAGAGTATTAAATGGAAATACAAGTAGTCCTTGGCTTGTTACTGCAATTGGGTCCAAAATTTCTGTTAAGCAGGGCAGTTGTTCAATCATGTCTGATTTTACAACTTTTTTTGACACACTTATGCAAATCATTGCAGATGTTAAGTGAATCATGCAGTATTAAGCAAACCCTGCTTCCCCTGTAAACCTTGCTGTTCCTCCTGCACGTTCTTTTCCGGTTGAGTACTTCTTTGAGGTGGCCATTTCTGACCACCGCTCCTACTACCTTCAGGAAAGGGAGTTTGACCAGCTGAAGAGGAGAGATGCGGTTCTCCTTGACCCTGCTGGCAGTCTCTCCCTTCTTCACCTCCTCTACGGGATGGCTTAGCCCCGAAACCAGCTGGCTCAGGGCGCTCCAGCAGTGAGCCCAGGCAGAAACCATGCACGATCGCGGATTCCTGTCTGTCGCCGAAGCCCTTCAAACCGGAAATCCGTGGCAGCCATTTTTTTAAGCAAGTTTACATTAACTTACATTACATTTTCACATAATGTGAAAGCTAAAACACACGCTATTTATCATTTACCTTAAAAATGCTTCAACATGTTAAAGAAACTAAAATTGCTATGAAATATTTATGGAATAGTTATACAAAATTGGGAGGGGGGGCAGAGAAATGACCAAATGCAAGGGTATAGAATTCTATATAGACCTTTAGGTAAAAGCAGTAAGAACCTTTGACAATGGATATTTTAACACTAGCTTCCAGGCTGTCTGCACTTCGAAGTAATATGTCTCTGCCATGTTTTTATAGCAGTTCCCAGTGTTTGTTTCTAATCAACTAGACTCAAGTATCAAAAAGCTGAATAGTGGAACAGTTATTAGTTATGAATAGTAGCACGCCGATTAATACATTGATTTTTAACACTCACTTTATTATAGACAAATTTAATCACTGAAATTGTGTGCAGCAATATACAGGGTCCTTAAAATGGCACTTTCTAATTTAAAATACTGAACGTACGTATGTACAGTTCCCGTATTTCACAGACACATTAATGACATGATAAAGAAACCTGTGCGATTGTTGAAATAGCATCAATAAGCCTTGCAAACTGCTATTTTTGACATTAATCAATATAGAAACGTTGCCATAAAAACACCTGGAAACCTGACATTGCATAAAGTTCATGCAGTGATTCTTAGCATATCAAAAAAACCCTCTCCAAGTGCGTTTTGTCATTTAAAGCATTTGCTTTGGAGCAACTGTTTTTAACATGGAAAAACATTACTTAGCCCTTCTAGTTGAATTAATAAAATTTGTATTTGTTCCTGCAAAATGTTTGCATAAACAGCAAAATCTGATTTAGCAGTCACATCACATCAATTCAGGATATTTATGAAACATGGCAATAGTTCCATGTTATCAATCGTTAATACCAGCTTGCCAGACCAAAAAAAAAAATCCCCGAAGATTTTTTTTTCATGTATTTTGCAAGCACATCTTCCTTTTATCTATGAATGTTATATTTATATACAACTAATATTCTATAATGCCCATTTTAGTATCCAACAGTAGCATAATAATTTTACAATAAGGCGTGGGTAGACAACTGCCAAAACAATGCACTGTGTGTGATAAGTTTATAATTTTTGTTTTTTGTTAAAATTATTAAATCAAGGGCATAGGAAGATAAAGGTTGAGTAGTTATTAGAGGGAAAGGTTGAGTAGTTCTTAGAGGTTGAGTAGTTATTAGAGTTTCTTATTCAATTCAGGTTTGCAAATCCAAATATATATATTTTTTGTACTGATTCTTTGGAAAAAACTTAAAATCTTCCAAAATCTGATTTTCATAGTGAAGTTGTAACTATATGTTAATTTTCATCATATCTAAATTAGTTAAAAACATTTTGAGGTGCAAATTGATTAGTGTTGTAAGGTGAAACCATTTAATAGGAAAACAAAACTATAAATATTTCACAGTATGTTAATTCTATGCCTAACTCCCGATTTCTCCTTACACTACTAATTTAGAAGTGGTTTATGAGTGCATTAACTAAATGAAAAATTCACAGGTGAATAATAGTTGTACATAAGAAAAACAAGACTAATGTAAGGAACAGTTTCATTACTGAATTTCTGTGTTCTAGGTTTTGCACTGCTTTTACATGATTAGTATCATAATATGAAGAGAAGACTCAATA